ATAAAAAAAATAGTGTCCAGGGTAAATAGTTCAGGAAATGTATGACAACTCCAAAACTCACCACTTGCCCTGGGATCTTTGGATTTTTTTTTTTTTTTTTTTAATCCCATCCTTAGAATCCTTCATGAGAGCTGCTGGAAAAATGAAAAATTACTTTCAATGGCAAAAACCACAATTACTTTTGCACCAACCTGATAGTTTTCATGTATTTGTTTAAGAAGGGAAGATTTCAAAAGTATCAAGAATCTGTTAATAAGAAATAAGTTTGGGCAAATAATAGTCTCATACTAGAATGTTTCCTGATTGATATACAAACCAAAAAAAAAAAAAAACAAAAACAACTCTAATAAAACATTATCATCGCCTGATCTGTATCACTCCAACAAGCAATAATGAGCTATTACAGACTATTCTACATAGGAAACAAAATTTTTATTACAAGAAAGTCCAGAGAGTGCTGAGTTAAAAGCAAAGAGAGAGCTAAATGAGTTAAATATTTAATGGCAGGACAAGGCAGCCTAGTATGTACATACCAACTTTAGGGATGGCTTTTCCAATTAGATCTAAATATTCAGGTTGTTAAGAAAGACATCCCCTCCTCTAGATCATATTTGTATTGACACAGTAAAGCTATTAATTCTGAGATCCTCTCTTTTCCATATATCATTTTAAAACTAACTCTTTTTTTGATGGGTACATTCTTTCTTTTGATATTTCACTGTATTGAATTACATTAAGTTTAGTCTAAACAATTGCAGAAGCTAATCTTTCTCTTTCACGGAAATTTGCATGTCTCTGATTTGATGCATTTACTTCACAGTTTAACTGTCAGAAAGTAATTTTGTTTCCACTTTTCCCAAGTTCTCCTGGAATTTTCCTGCACAGTCATAAAACTTTGACAAATAATGTGAACATGGTTTTCAATCTTAAAGTTGACCAATAAATATTCACCATAAAATTTCCTTCAATGCTTGTTTAATTTTTCTCTCAATTGCCCCTGAGGTTGAGGAATTTTTCCTTGCAGTATTTTAGGAATAAAGATTCTTCTGCTCATGTTCTAATATCATTATTGGCTTCCCCTTGAAGACTTTTGATAAATGTGTTTTCTTAATATAAGACTTTTTTAAATGTCTGAACATCTGGTTGCTTAACGTTCACCAACATATTATCAAACTTCTCTTTTTAAGAGTAAAGAATTTGAAATTTGAATGTTCCGATTTCAGACTGGCTTTATATTACTAATTGTGATTTTAAGTAACTGTCTTGACATCCCTGAAGTTTATTTTCTTTATCAGTGATATAGCTGCCAACTCAATCGCACAGCACTGTTTTAAAGATCAGATCAGATTACATAAGCATGCGAACAAATAGGGTGGAAAGATAATCTTCGTTTAGGCAAGAATTTCTACGTGTTGCTTAACTCTAAAGTTCCATAGTTCTGTGTAAAAGAACTTTAAATGCAATTGTCTGTTTGAATGCACCCTATGTAAATATCTAGCCACAGCTATTTCTTTGGTGGTTTGGATGAAAGCTGGATGTGCAAATTGTGATACATGAGGTGTGTATGTAAGACCCTTTAAAATACAGGAGAAATTCAAAGTAAAGGGAACGGAATAAAGACTGAAAGTTGGGGGCTAAGGACTACTGCTCCTAGAACTGCCATATTCTAGAACTCTGAGGCATCTGAAAATTCTAAATTTAAACTTAGCCCTCTAGGTTCTTGTGAACAAAATTGGTCAAAATGAAGATAGAGCCTATTTTATTTAACAATTTGTTTATTTGATAAATGAGTTTAAATAGTCGGGCATATGAAATTTTAAAATAAAGCGCGTAACTGGATTGTTTGTAACTAAAAGGACACATGCTTGAGGGAATGTAAACCCCATAATCCATGACGTGCTTATTTCAAATTACGTGCCTGTATCAAAACGTCTCACGAATCCCATAAATATATACACCTACTATGTATCTATAAAAATTAAAGAATAATAAAAATAATAAAATAAAATAAATATTCCAGGCATATGATATACATCCTTGCCCCAGGCACAAAAATGTTATTGGCAGGCTTGCTTAGTCTTTCTCTATTTCTATACTTAGAAAATATTAACATTTAAATATAGCCCTGTAGAAGGAGGTGTATCCCTATCTCCTTAATTCATAGGAGATATAATCCAGCTAGTGTTATTAGGTATAAGTCACCACAAACAAGACAGGAAGAAATGTGTGCAGATATAAGATATGCTTTACTTCTGCTTCAAAAAGTGGTAAGTTAGGAAAAAATTTAAACTTAATGCAGAAATTCTGGAGACAGATTCTCTGAATGTAAAAACAAGCCAAATGTGACCAAGGAAGTCACTGTGCAAATGTCCAGATCAGTAAAGTGCTCTAAAATGTTGTGTGGAACACATATCCCTTATAATACCATTGCTTCTTCAGTTAGGTTCACAACTTTGTGCTTTTTCATTTGTTTTAGTCATCGAATAGATCAATTAATCTATGTTAAAAGCATCTTCCATGTTCAAGGAGTCCTTTGTATATTTTTAACTTATATTACTTTATATTTTGGGCTATTTTTACCTTCATGAACACTAACATAGCACCAATGACACTATGATTATGCATGATTGGGTGCATGTGTATATGTCTATTTTGGTAGCTCTCTACATTTGTTTTTTGCATTAATTTTTACTTAAAAGTAGGATTCTATTTTGCACATTGTACTTTTAATTCACCTATTTATATTATAAATTTATTTAATGAAAAGGAATAATTAAAGCCCACAGTATAATAAAATCTCAGATCTACTCCTGTATATTTTTACTTACCTGCAGGGTTAGAGTATGAATTACCACGATAATCACCTCTACTATCCATTGCATTTGTCTAAACAATTTAAAGTTTAAGCATCATTTTACTTTCACATTTTTGCTCCTCTTTCCTTATATAAACAAATATGTCTTTCTTTCTCTGCTCTACACTCTAGTTGTTTGTCTGGTTATCTCTTTTTCTCTTCTTGTTATGTACTACGTATGTCCATGACTCTAGTTGTCTACTTAGTTTTTTTCCTCTTCTGGTTATTTACTATGTATATCCATGACTGATACTCCTGTCTTTCCAATATATAAACATTTGAAGGCAAGTCATTTACCAGAAAGATTTCCATGCATGAGTAACAGGTATTCTGAGAGTGAAATTAACCAGCTTGTATTCCTCACTCCTTTATTCTGCCAAGTGAGAAAACTAATCTGGTTATGTAAGAAGTCATTACTTCATCTACTCATCAGCTGTTTGTGACATGCTCCAGTTGGAAATAAAATTGCACAAGGATGAAAATGAAGCCTGTTTCAGAACACTTTCAAGGAAGATTTGTTCCTGTAATGGGCTCTTTGCCAAAAGATATGGTTTTTAATTTGTGAGAAAATAAAAATGCGGTCCAAACAAGTGAAACATAAAGTCAGAGGTCAAAAGACATTCTTATTTTTATAGCAAGGAGGTTCAAACTCTGTATTAAGTGAAATTGAAAACACATTTTTTGCTGTCTTCCATTTCTAGCAGTTTGGGCAATGTATCTGTGAAAACAACTTAAAATTAAGTCAGCTTTGGATCTGTCAGTTTTCTACACATATCAGTCTCAGAATCCACTTTTTTACCCCCAAGTAAGTACTGAATATGTTAACTTCAGTCTTACTATTTCTATTTCCTTGTAATTATAGTTCTCTCCTTTGCACATTCTGACAACTGAAATATTTCTAACATGATGTATGGAATAATAAAGAAGGTTTGTATAATGTTCCCCACAGTAGCTCTAGTTGCAAGAGTTTTTATAAATATTGGAACTGAGAGCAATCCCAAAGGGTATATTGAAATAATCAAGGCTCAGGAAGAACACTGAAGTCTGAGATAAGGTTACTTATCAATATCATTATTACTATTATTTTATTTAAATATTTATAAAAGGTAGGAATTAAAAATATAAAGATTCTGGGGGGAAAAAAAAAAAACCTTTCCTGTATGCACATCCCAGATTTTCCCCTATCTAGCTGTGTGATCTTGGGCACTCAACATCTCTGTGCCTCAACAGCCCATCTGTTGAATGGCGGCATAAAAATGAAGTAGTTCCTAACTCATACAGTTGCTGTGAAGGTTTAATATATCATTACAAAGAGTCATCATTATATCAGACACTGTTCCAAGTAATTTAAATACAAATATTTGATAACTTTAAGAAAGTCTTAAAATACTAACTTCCAAAACATATTGAGGATTTACATACTCCTTGAGGGATATTTCTTTTATAGGAAAGTCAAGTAATGCTTCTCTCACATCAAATACTAATTTGTTAGTTTACTAATATTTACTAAGATTTAAATTTATTAGCTTACTAATATTTAAATATATCTTGGATATATAGTTCCAAGTACAAACACAAGATCCAAATAAAAACACATAATGATTAGGATTATTTCCTGTAGAAGGCATTTTGCAAAGAACACCAACATGAAAGTAAACCAACTCATAGAACTGTGTACTTAAATATATGTACTCTTCTTATATGCAAAACAGACTTTAATAAACTTGAATGAAAAACAAACAGAAAGTAAATCAAATCCTTGGTGAATCTGTTGATAGCGTGGGTAACCATGTTGTAATTGACTTACTATATTTTTAAAGGATCTCTCCTAACAGCTACTAAACGTTTCTTCTCTGACTAAAACAAATAGATTTGCACTAGAAAGAGCTCATTGCCCAACTAAGTACTGGATGACCACATCATTGACATATACACTTCGCCAATCCCAATGGCTCTACCACATGTATCTTCCTGGCTTAAAGCAATTTGCACTCTATACATGCAGGACATCCATAAAATGTACAGTTATCATTATACATAGTAAGTATTTCACATAAATAATTTTAGATGATTTTCCATTAGAAACACAAACTATTAACTATTCTGCAATAGCAAAAATCATGAGAATCAAGCTCCTAAATAATCAGTGCCATCCAAAGAGTTGCTTTTAAGCTTTGACAAATAATAGATGTGGCTGAACAGAGTGGGGAAAATAGTTCCAGCTTTTATTGAGTCTTAACTACCTACAAGTAATTTTGGAAAATCCATTAATTCATTAAAATTACAGAGCTCTGGACTTGACTTCATTATTGACTGTCAGTAGAGACTAAGTTTACCATCACTCCATGGCAGCTAAGGACAGGAGTATAAGGGGAAGGAAAACTGGGTTCCAGTCCCCATTCCGTAGACACTTAGGTGTCCAACCGTGCAAGTTACTTATTCTCCCAGAGCTTTTGTATTCTCATCTACATAACTGACAGATTATAAATTATTTCTTATAGTCTTGCTAAGTTTTGGGATCATGGTTAGTCACCATAAGAAGCAGAGTGTTCTTTTTAGAATATTACATCAAAGAAGTAAATATTGCCTTAGGTCTTGAAAGAGTTAATGGGTTTCAACACTTCAGGAATACATTCTCCACTTTTTTTTTAAGATAAAAAACAACCTCACTGGGGTTTGTTTTTCTTGAAATCTGTTATATTTAAAACATGCTTAGATACCAAGAAATGACTAATCTAATTACTTGCATTTTTGGCAAAGATTTAGTTGTGGGGTCTTGAAGAAAAATATTGAGAAAAATATTGAGTGAATTTTTGAGGAAAAGAAAAATATTCTCTCCCATTGTACACATTTCCTAATAAGTTTGTATTACTTTATCTTCTAACTTTTTAAAGGGTCCCTCTGTAAGCATTAATTTTAGTGATATTCAGGTGAGATAAATTGTAAAAAAATAAAGTTTTATATATATAAGCCGTTTATAAAATGGAAAGCTCTATATAGATGTAACACACCCATTAGTCTCACACTCTTGATCTTAATCAGAAATAAAATTGGCCCTTATCTTTCTTTGTGCAACCAGATTATAAACATGAGTACCCAAGACAAACTTTTGTAGTATATCACATAAAAGTAAAACAAATTTATTGAATGATAAAACAAAGGTGAGTTGAAAATATGAGCCCCTGTGCTAGATGTAAAATTAACAATACTCTATCAGTATAATATTCTTGAGATACAAATAACTCTTGGAAGAGTCTTTTCCACATAAAATTTAAATATCTATTTTAAATTTGATCTTGCAGATTTTAGCTATAGTAGACAACAGTAAATGTAACTCTGACTTTTCATTTAAAACCACAGAAGTTTCCATCTACTGGAATTCAAAGGAATAACATATGATATCTAAAATACTTCACAATCTAGCCACTATATCCACTGTATGTTCTATATAGAAAAGCCCCATCAATTCCGGAAAAAAAAAAAAAGCAATGATTTCTGAGGGCTCTGTTCTCTTCCATTGGTCTATATCTCTGTTTTGGTACCAGTACCATGCTGTTTTGGTTACTGTAGCCTTGTAGTATAGTTTGAAGTCAAGTAGTGTGATTCC